ATATTATGTGTGTGTGTATGTATATATATATATATATATATATATATATATATATATATATATATATATATATATATATATATATATATATAGTACATATATATATATATATAGATGTGGTAGCAGGCGTGAATTACAGCAAAACCCGATCGTTCGACTCTGAAGCCCTTTCCATTAATCAATACAACGTTCATTGTCTTTATGTATGTTTAACTATTATTCTTATTCAGAAGGTGAACATTAGAATAGGTACCATAATCCAGTTTTCCATTTCTCTTTGATATGTTCTAAAATGGTCATACTTTTAAAATGAGGTAAAAAAAAAAAAAAAAAAAAAAAAACGAACCAAGGATAAATCGAAACCACAAAGTTTAAGGAAAACCTGAGATCCCTCAGTCTGTATATTAACAAAATGTACAATCCATGTGTCTGGCCTCTTGTAAACAAAGAAAATACACTTATCTCTCTCGTAGAATCAAGAAAGCATCAAGGAGGCGTCCGGAGAGGCCAGGCGCCCCGCGAACCACACTCCGCTGATCGGATAAGCAAAGAACCCAAGAGTTTTTGGCGACGAGACAATAGTTTTCCTATCGTCGTGAGTCTTGCCGCAAAATGGTTTTAAGTAAAACAAATCAAAATAAATGTGAAACTTCGTTAATCGTTAAAATAAGTGAAACCAAAACTAAGGCCGTTAAAAGAAAGCTAAAGTAAAAGATAAATGTACAATAAAACAAATTTTAAAAAATGCTCCAGGGATGAGCAGTGGCACAGGTGGCTGCCAAGAACCCCCACAAATGGTGTTGATCTAGAGGTGCTGCTATCAACCGGGGGGACTCGCCTAGCCTGGACTCTCGCAACAGAGTGGGGGAACCTCACGTCCACTACATAACCTTCCCCCGCCTTCCCCATGCCAAAGCCTTCGCTCCCTCGTCGCTCGTCGTGGGCCTTCCTCGCTGGTCCCGCTTCACCCGCCGGCGCCTCACTCCTCCGAAGGGCCGCCCAAGACCGCCTCCCGCTCGGCCGCGTCCTCTTCCGAGGCCAAGGGCAGGATGCGCGTCCTCTTGAAGAAACCAATCTGAGGGAGGAAGGAGAGAATGCATGACACTTCTGCTGTAGATCGGCACTAAAGACACACACACACACACACACACACACACACACACACACACACACACACACACACACACACACACACACACACACACACACACACACACACACACACACACAACACACACACACACACACACAACACACACAACACACACACACACACACACACAACACACACACACACACACACACACCTATATGTATATGTATATATGTACATAAGGGCCTATGTGTGTGCAAGGTTTAAATCCTCCTACGACCTTGCATGCGTGTAGTGTCTGACCTTGTACAGGACGGCGACGAGGGCGACGACGAGCAGCAGGCCGGCCGTGACCGCCGCCACGTAGTAGAACCAGTCAAGCGAAAGGAGGTCGTGGGAGGCCTGGAGAAAGAAGTATGAGTCACGGCGGAAGGAGATGGGGGAAGGGAGAGAAGGAGGGATAAATGGGGGAAAAGAGAGAGAGAGGGAGACACGGACCCTACACGGGGATGGTACATGATAACCTTGGGCCTTCAGATAGACAACCACTACGTCTCGATTCCTTTATCAGAGGAGCAATGTGCTGGAGTGAGGTTGCTCATCCAAGGCGCGAGGTGCTGCTCCTTGGATGCCCGAAGGAAGTCTGCCCGTCCTATTGCGAAGTGGTCTAAGGACGGCTATAAACTGAGTCTTACTATGTGACAGTCGGTGGTGAAGAATGAGAGTGCTGCAACAAGACACATCCCTTGCGGAAGGGGATACATAACATAACATGGGATGTTTTGTGTGGAAAGAAGAGATGAATAAACAGGTAAAGCAGTGACCATGCGTATATGCATATCTATAGGTATGTGTGAAGATACGTATGTTACAAACATGTAAGATTATATAAATTGTATAGAATATAACAACAGATACATAGAATAATATTAGCTCACATATTTCAGTAACATGATATAGATATTGCTGGCTTACAGATGTCTGCGTGTGTGTGTGTGTGCGTGTGCGTGATGAGAGAGAGAGAGAGAGACGAGAGAGAGAGAGAGAGAGAGAGAGAGAGAGAGAGAGAGAGAGAGAGAGAGAGAGTGAGAGAGAGAGATGAGATGAGAGGAGGAGAAGAGAAACCTCTCCACCACACCCAAGGCGCCCCTGTCAGCCCAAACGCGCCCGCATACGCACCCGCTCCCTGAGGATGTAGACGGGCGTGCGGAGGGCGGCCAGGCGCGAGGGGCGGGAGACGCGGCCGCCCGCCTCGCGCGCCTCCACACTAAGGGCGGTCTCGAACATCAGGAGGCTGTGCCGAGCAGTCTGGGGAGAAATCGCAGCGTCAATAAAAGCATTGTGTTGCAAAGAATGGATCATCTGACCGCTGGAAAAGCACGTTTTGCGTCTGTGATGATGAGCATTGTTCATTTTAATAACGATCATGATCAACACAAACAGTACCTGGAAGTCATCCTTAACGCTACACAAACTTGAATACAATGCCCGCCCTATGTTGCCATAGGGCATCACCAAATTACAGGGCGTGTTTTGCTAGAGCAGGTTTCATCTACAGGAAACGGATGAATGCATGGGAAAGTAGCCATATGGCACTATGTTGGTGAATTCCTGCATCGCGGGAACACCCAGGATTCTAAGTACTTCTGCCCCACTTGCAGCAGGGGAGCTCAGACAATAGGCATTACAGAGAGACCTAAGTGAGGTTGGCACGTGCCTTTACGTAGTACATATGAGAGCAACTAGTGACACGTTAGAAGAGCCTGAACTACTTCTTAGATATCCTAGACAACTAGAGCTAGGGTCACACTAGTCTTCTCTGCCCTGGGATCCCTAGACAGCCTCGCCGAACTCAGGTTCGAAGACCAATCAAAAGCTTTCGCTGGCCAGACTTCGGCGAGGCTGTCTAGGGATCCCTGGACAGAGAAGACCAGTGTGACCCGAGCTTTAGTAAATGATTGTGTATCCAGATGGCTACCCCCCCCCTTTGCGTGGCCAAGTGGCTATTAGCTACATTATGGTCGATTATATTCATACTTTTATACCATAAGGCATCCAAATACATCACAAATATTTTTTATACATGAATAAAGAGAAAGAAGAGAAAGAGAAGGGGGGGGGGAGAGAGCGAGGGGGAGCATACCTTGAGCGTGGAGACGACCAGGTAGCCCGCCACAGACACCGACACGCTGTCTCCGCCCATCAACGGAGGCAGCTCGCACCTTTAACGAAAAATGGAAGGCGTGAGAGCGACGTTCTTCCCAACATTCAACGGGTCTTAAAGAACACTTGGCCATGTCGCTTTCACTTCACAAGAGTCAACTCACACGAAGCTGTCGCAGACCACGTCGTCGCAGGAGAGGATGAGGTGACTGCGCTCGTCCCTGCGAAGGAGAAGGGGGGCGTTAGGGGGCCAGGTGCTGCTTTTGGATAGAGGATATATATATATATATATATATATATATATATATATATTATATATATATAATATATACATATATATATAGTAATATATATATGTATACTATATATATATATATATATATATATATATATATATATATATATTATATGTATGTATGTATGTGAATACGTATATATATATATGTACATAATATATTATATATATATATATATATATATATATATATATATATATATATATATATATATATATATATATATGCATTTATATCAACAAATGCATAAGCAGAGGCTCACATGGGTCCGGTGAGAGTCTGCGCAGATCCCTCGTGTGGCGGCGAGGTCGTCGGGCGGTCTTGGCGGACGCTCCTCCTCCTCCTCTCCGTCCGCCGTCGCGTCGGGTCGCCGTCAGCTGCAGGAGGAACCGCCTCCCCAGGTGCGGCCGCCGCGTCTGGCTGCGCCTCATCTCTGGACACCTTGGGCGCGGGAGGGAGCATGAGAGGGCGAAGAGGAGAAGGTGGGAAGGTAGCCAAGGAAATGAACATTGACAAGGAAGGAGACGAGGGAAGTGAGCACAAGGCGCAAAGAATCGACCTCCAGTGCTAAGCTCCACGGGAAAGATAACCAAGTGATCAAGATATCGCTTGGGGGTTGGTTTGCCGAAGGGAAATGAAAAAGTGGATTAGAATATTTCAATGAACCCTTCATCTGCTTCGGGTGATTTGGCGTGAGTCGTGTCCCTGCTGAGTTTGGGCTCAGACGCTTCGCTTTCCCGGTTGGAGGTGAAAGGCGAAGGAAAGACACAGAACCTCACAATGTTTTCTCAGGAGAGACCATGTCGTGGTTTGTGAAACTGTTGAATCTCTTTCATTCATTTTCACTTTTCTTTGGCAAGTGACGCGTATCTACAACCGAACTCTACGGGGAAATGACGCGCCATTTCATTACAAAATTGAACTCTGCACAGCTCAGAGAGGCGTAATTAGCCCATGCTATTTAACAACCTAATGCATAGATTACTAGGCGATATACCACTTGTGGGCAATGAAACCACCATTTGCTATGCCGATGAGACTTACATTAAATCCTCATCCGAGAAGAGAAAGCAAAAGATTCTTGATGTACTTTCTGCAAGGGCTAATGAGTGTGGCTTAATATGTCGACTGTAGAAACCAAGGCACTTAACCCAAAGACAATCCCTCTGCCAAGATTTCACATCGATGACGGTAAGCTAGATCTTTGCCACTAATACGAATACCTCGAAGTGATTGTCAATGATGCCAAGTTTATCAAAAACCAGAAGAAAATGCCGTGGAAGCGCCTGAAGCCACTTAGAACGATTGGCGGCAAAGACCATATTGCTAGACTCTTTTACTTGCCATACATACGGTCAGCCATAGACTGTCATGCATTGCTCCTAATATTGGTCAAGGCAGCAGAGTTAGCTAGTTTAGAAATTGTATAAAATGAGGCCATGAGGATTATTACTGGTGCTCCTAAAACAACGAGGATTGTGAATATGAGAAGAGAACTTGATTCAACTTCCGTTTACGAAAGAATTTTATACATAAATACCGCATTTAGTGTCAAATCAATAAGACAACCTCACTAGAGTTCCAAGGACAACTACAGCAGAATAGTGGAGCTAATTTTGAATGGCAATATCGATTCATATTCAAATCCATAGCTACAAGTAACGTATAAACACTTATCTCAGCTGAACATACCGATAGCTAAAACCCTACATGGCAGGGTGCGCTTTCGTCTTACATAAAAAACATTATTGTGCAGCACCAGGATTGGAGAAGGGTTCATGACTGGGCTGGCACTACCCAAACTGAACTGGCAGGAATACTCAAAGCCACCGAATTTCTATATATAACTAAGGCTCAGGGGTCATTTTCTGCGATTCACAGAGTGCTCTCCAGGCTTTGAACACACTAAACAAAGGTGCAAGAAATATTACAAATGACATCAGAATAAGTGTGCATCGTGCAAAAGAACGAGGCCATGATATACGTTTTGTGAGGATACCATCGCATCCTGGGAGTACCTCTTGCTAGGATTTCACACAATTAAAACTTCCTTCAAAGAGGACTTGACTGAGCCGACTAATTCTCAACGGCCTGGAAGCTGTAGAATAAAGCACTATGACCCATTTACGCAATATGCATTCATCTATGGTTTATATATAACAAGAATAAGAATAAGAGAATAAGTGTGATATTGTGATCGCAAAAATCAGGCTGGGTTATAGATTATAAGGGCAGGTCAGTGCATATTGTAATGTCGAAGATACTGTGTAAATTATGTGACGAAAAATATTCGTGAACGCTTATCTCGGTAGGAGAACTATTTAACTATTTCATATCATCCTATGTCTCAGTGTCGTGTGTTACAGCCTTTCAGACCACCCAGCATGGAGTATAGAGAACTATTTAACTATTTCATATCATCCTATGTCTTATAAGATATAGTTATGTTGTATCCGAAATTTGGAATGTAGTACCACACGACCACATAACAAATGTAACAATACCTTTCCACGCCCAAGCTTGTTAGATGAGTAAATAAGGAGTGTGTAATGTTTTTTTTTTTCTTTAACTGATACAGTACAAATTATGATAATGTTATAGCCTAAATTTCCAATTCAATACTATCATGTAAATTTGTGACCAAGCACCAAGTGTACTACAGCTTGCCCACGCCTGTGCAGTTATCCAGGGCGGTAAACAAGGACTAGACTAAACTTGATATTCTCAATGCATTTCACTTCCCTTCTTAGAACTGCCAAAGAAAAATAGAGCGAGCATCCAAGAAAATGAATAAGCAGTAACCTAATTGGAGATTGTAAGTGTTCAATAAATATTTTCTGTGATTTTTGCTCCGCTTTATTACCTCTTCCTTCTCCCTCCCCCTCTCCCTCTCCCCTTCACCCTCCCCTACCCCTCATCCCTTCTATTATTTCCCCCATCTTCCTTCCCCCTCCCTCTTCCCCTCTCTTTTTCCTACCTTCTCCCTCTCCCCCCACCTCCTTCCCCCTTTCCCTCTCCCTTCTTACCTGGAATCCGAGCGGGTTGAGCGCCGGCCCTGAGCACGAGAGCGCAGGAGAGCTCACTGGGTCCTCCACCAGGTAGAACAGAGGCAGGCCGCTGGGCACACGAGCGGGGACGTCCAGCACCAACTGCGGCGGAGGAAGGGCCAGAGAATCATGAGGGCGGGAAGGAACGGGCGGGGCGAGGGGCGAGGGGCAAGGAATCAAACGAGGGAGTGAAGGAGAGACTGACAGGCAGTCGCAAAGATATACACACAAACACACACACACACACAAATAGAGAGAGAGAGAGAGAGAGAGAGAGAGAGAGAGAGAGAGAGAGAGAGAGAGAGAGAGAGAGAGAGAGAGAGAAGAGAGAGAGAGAGAGAGAGAAGAAAAGAGAGAGAGAAAGAGTGAGAGAATGAAAAAGAGAAAGAGAGAGGGATAATGAGAGAGAGAGAGAGAGAGAGAGAGAGAGAGAGAGAGAGAGAGAGAGAGAGAGAGAGAGAGAGAGAGAGAGAGAGAGAGAGAGAGAGGAGAGTTACTAGAATATAAGTTGCAGCATTTTAGTACCCAGCATCAATGTTTAAATAACTAAGGTCAGCTCACTTCCTCCTTCTGCTGAGCTAAGGCTTGGGGGGGGGCAATTTCCTGTCAGGGAATTTAAAAGTTTTATACATAGGCCGGACCTTGTATTTAGAAAACGCGATTCTTTCAAAGCAAGTGAGAAAACGAGAGTATCTAAGGGCATACTATAGTATTCTGTTACAGTCGATAAATAAATTATTATATCCAATTATTTCTTTCTCTATGCATTTTCAAGAATTCAAAGTAAGAAAATCGTCACATATTTGACTTTAAGGACAATCTAAAGACAGTGACATAAGTTATTTGCGCTTCAGAACCTGACACTCAGGTCGGACCGGTAGCCTGCGTGAAACACGTTACTGCGTCAGGGATCGGACGAGAATGCATCCGCGGGCACACCTCTCGCGGACCTGCGCCGTGGGACCTGCGCAATGTCTTTGGAAATCGGAGTGAGCTGACCTGTCTTATCCCGACCCTAGCCCTGACCTTGGCTCCGACGAGCGGCGATGGCCCGTGGTTCGCGAGCGTGTAGGTGAAGGCGACGGACGGGCCGAGGCGGGTGGGCGAGGTATCAGAGGGAACACGGGGATCCATGAGCTCCTGCAGGCTGAGGGACTGGTTGGCGAATGCCTGCACGGCCTCGGGGGCGGAGGACCTGCGGTCAATACAGGAGAATCCTTCGTCAGAACCCAGGAGAAGGTTTAGGCCAGTGGCGTCGTGGTCTATACTCACTGCTCTGGCGAATAACAAGGCGCAAAACCCACCTTCCCGCGGAATGGACTTTGACAAGTACTCAAAAAAGATGGAATGAATCACGTCAAAGACAATTACTCAAAAAGATGGAATGAATTATATAAAAAAACAAATCAAAGGCTAAACGGTTTCAGGAAATGCGGCGGGATCGGAGCCCTGGCCAGTTCCCGAGGCATCGCGTACCCCAGGCCGAAGACCTGGTGGTCCAGGTGAAGAGGCACGGCGAGGTCCAGGCTATTGTCCTCTGGATGCAGATCCTCGCTGTCGCTGGTGGCGTTGATGAGCAGGCGGAGCTCGGCGCGGGGGGCGGCCAGCAGGAGGTCGGCGAGGGCGAGGGGCGAGCTGTCGAAGACGAAATCGAGCGGGATCTGTGGGAGGAGTTTGTGGTTCATGAATGTCCTTTTGAGCGGGACACGGCACGGGCAGGGCTTGCATGACCATGGGACACTCAGAATTACGTGGATCATTTATGGTTGACTAAGGTAGAAAAAAAAACACAATGCACAAACTAGATTTATTGAAGAAAGTGAGATAACAGTTTCGGAATCGTCATCGATTCCATCTTCTGACCCGAAGATGGAATCAAGGACGATTCCGAAACTGTTGTCTCACTTTCTTCAATAAATCTAGTTTGTGCATTGTGGGTTTTTATACCATAGCATCAACACGGTAGAGTGTTTTTCCGTTCTTCATGGTTGAGTAAGTAATAACATAAAGTTATTTATTCATCATATCAATGCGGTAGTGCATTATTCCTGACCAAAACCTGCGTATTGCGGCGACTCACCTTCATGTCCCGCCGAAGCTCTGACTGGAAGGTACAGAGTACTGTAGGGCGGTCCGAGGGCCCCGTCGCGGAGGGTTGGCACTGCGGGAGCAGCCGACGGCTGGACACGTGGCGGAAGGAGAGCTGCGCCGGGAAGGACACCGCCAGTCGCACCGCCGAAGCCGCGGCGCTGCCGACGGTCAGCTCCACCGCGAAGCGCGCCTCCTCGCCCACCGCAAGCGTCTGCCTGCGGCACACGCAAGCACTCTAACAAAGATTCATAAATTGATGCATATATATGTACATATATACAAGTATAGATATATATAAATAGTGAGAGAGGGGGAGAGAGAGAGAGAGAGATAAAAGGATTGGGAGAGAGAGGGGAGGAGAAGGGAAAGAGAGAGAAAAGGAAGGAGAGGGTGAGGGAGGGAGAGAAAAAAGACGGGGAAGGAGGAAGAACGAGAGAGAGATACACAGAGATGGGTGTCTGACGCCGAGAGAGGAGAAGCGCTGATTTGAGCCCTACAGCCTCCCCTCTGCTCGACCGGACTCCCCTGACGACCTACCCTGGCGCGGCCGTGAGTGTGAGGTCCGGACTCGAGAAGCAGGTCAGGGGGTCATCGCAGGTCAGTCTGCCGTGACCCTGAATGACGGTAGGGCGGTTCAGGGCGAGGACAGGTGGTACAAGCGTCGGTTCACCCGCGGCTCCTGGTTCCACCTGCGTATCTACCTGCGGATCCACCTGCGAGGGCAGAAGAGCCACGCTGGCCGCAGCTGCTATGGGCAAGTCGATCCGCGGGCGCCCGGGCTGCCGTCGAACAGGGAGAGAATTACGAAACTCATGAAGGCAAAGGCATCGACGAACGAGTGAGGAAGTCATTTTGCAATGCTTGGTGCGCAGTGAGGCTGCGACGCTTCCCCCTTCCTGCATGCCTCCCCTGCGCATGCAAATCTGACAGGTGCTGTTTTGTATCCAGTCAGGTGATGGGCATGCCTCTGCACATTACCATGAATGTCAGTAATTTATCTGTATTTAGAGAATCTTTAAGGCGTTAACCTGACATGTCACCAAAACTGGCTAATCTAATTAACCCAAAAAGCGGACAATGTGGACAAGCATTTCATTCGGGGAATTTTACCTAATCAAAGAAGCTATTTGCTTTTTATCAATCATTTCGGTGGACAATTTGTAAATATATCAACTCCAGATCTTTCTTCATTGCAAAATATATCACCTGCAGTTCTCTTTTTCTATTGCAAAATATATCACCTCCATATTTCTTTCTCTATTGCAAAATATATCAACACATCTTTCTCGATTGGTATGTGCCCCTCTATCTCCTATGGTATAATATATCACTTCCACATCTCTTAAATTGAGCCATCTTTACATCTACCTCCTATGGTAAAAACCCACAGATGGAATCGAGGACGATTCCGAAACTGTTGTCTCACTTTCTTCATTAAATCTAGTTTGTACATTGTGGTTTTTTCTACCACAGTATCAATACGGTAGAGTGTTTTTCCATTCCTCTATCTCCTATCCTTTTACTGAAACGCAAATGACAAAGACCAGTCCGTGGCTTCAACCCGGACCCACCTTGTGACCCATACCTAGAGGCCCTTAGCTAATCTTACAATATAAAGTTAAAACGCAAATGACAAAGACCAGTCCGTGGCTTCAACCCGGACCCAGCAAACAAGAGAATCCTACACTAGGAGTCTTCAGTCGCTATCCTTCCAGGACACTCACCAGGACGTAAACCTCGAAAGTCCTGACGTCGCCGGGTCCGCCCCCTTGGCTCAGGATCGCCTCGTAGGTTATTCTGTCGAGGAAAAAGGGAGAGGCGGTCACTTGGCTTGCGTCCTCGCGTCAGATTTTCTGGTCACTCATTCATGCCGCAATGACCCGTGTGCGTGTGTGTGTATGTGTGTGTGTGTGTGTATGTATGTATGTATGTACGCGCTCGTGTGTGTGTGTGTGTGTGTGTGTGTGTGTGTGTGTGTGTGTGTGTGTGTGTGTGTGTGTGTGTGTGTGTGTGTGTGTGTGTGTGTGTGCGTGTGCGTGTGCGTGTGTGTGTGCGTGTGCGTGTGCGTGTGCGTGTGCGTGTGCGTGTGCGTGTGCGTGTGCGTGTGCGTGTGCGTGTGCGTGTGTGCGTGAGTGCAGGTGCTTGTGACTATGTGCATGCGCGCTCATTCATGTGTGTGTCCCCCACTCACTGGTTCTGCTTGTAGTGCACGAAGGCGAGTCTGCCCTGCTTGGGGTCCAGCTGCAGCGTGACGTTGACAGCTGCAAGGAAGAGAGGGCGCTGTTAAGAGATTGTTGCCGCTGCCTGTGTAATCAATGTCTCAATCGTTGGACACCGAGGAAGCCTTTATTGAGACGCGACGCCATTCTTAAATAAATATCTGTCAGTGTATCACCATTACCGTCATCATCGTTGTTGTCATAATTAGCAGCTATATATAGTCTCCCTCTCACTCGGTCTCTTACTCTCTCGCGATTTCCTTCTCTCTCTAACTTTTCTTCCATTCTTTATATTTATAGTTAAAGGCACACACACACACACATGTATGTATGTATGCATGCATGTGCTGGAGTACTCACGCTGGCCCTCCGCCCCCCGGCCGGCGGCGAAGCCGAGGGTGACCTTCAGCTGCAGACAGACGGCGGCCTCTCCACCCGCGTCCGCCCGCCCGCCGCTCACGCTGCACGACCTGTTGTTCAAGCTGACCTCGGGCGGGTCAAAGGCCACCGCGCCCTCGACCGCCAGCACCGGGGCCGACCTGCAAAGCCAAGGCGGTTCCGGTCAGAAGAAATGCGAATTAGGGAATGGGGAATAGAGAGTGGGAAGTGGGAGAGCGGGCACGGCGTCGGCGGGGAAACGCCCTCCTGGATGCTGCAAACACAAGCCAGCCGAGAGGATGAGGCCCTTGCAATCGCGACCGGGTGACTAGCTGCCCGCTGAAGCCGCGACCATAAATAAAACCCTGCATCGTGAACATCCGGCGACACGAGAAGATTCTTGGACTGTTCATCAACTATCCGCAGACAGACTATTGAAGAGAATGTCTAAGAAAAACGATAATTATTCTGCTACCTGCGTCCGAATACTCTTTGGCTGTAGTAAGCATGCGGTTTCTCAGGCTGGTGGATGGCGTGATATATATATAAACAGGAACGACGGAAATATCAAAATAAAATCATGCGTGGATTCGGACATCGCGTCGTTAAGCGCCAAGTGGCGTTTCCAAAAGTGACTTATCATGGCGACAGGAACTGGAGCGTGAGACGACAGCGAATGATAAGTCAAAACATTTAAGGAATTCAAGTGACAGCTCAAAAGACTTTGATTCGTTCGGACAAGGATATTACCTGATAAAAACTGCACTGTCCGACGCAGCAGCACCGACTAGGACGTCAGGGTAACCATTGGCATCCATGTCAATTCCGCCATCGATGCTGAAGCCAAAGCCGCGCACAGCCCCGTCGAAATCGGACGCTCGAAGGACCTGGAAACAAAGCATGAAAATAAATACTGAAGAATTAGAGAAAGAAGGGGGGAGGGATGTGAGATAATGGGTGGAGAGAGAAGAAGGGACAGTGAAAGGAATGAAGCGAGAGAGAGAGAGAGAGAGAGAGAGAGAGAGAGAGAGAGAGAGAGAGAGAGAGAGAGAGAGAGAGAGAGAGAGAGAGAGAGAGAGAGAGAGTGTGTGTGTGTGTGTGTGTGTGTGTGTGTGTGTGTGTGTGTGTGTGTGTGTGTGTGTGGTGTGTGTGTGTGTGTGTGTGTGTGTTGTGTGTGTGTGTGTGTGTGTGTGTGTGTGTGTGTGTGTGTGTGTGTGTGTGTGTGTGTGTGTGTGTGTGTGTGTGTGCAATTAATAAAAGAAAATAAATCATACACAATTATTTGAACTGAAAATCACGTTTGACGTTAGTTTTCATGGATCAGCCGCAGCGGATGGATGGAAGGAGTCCGAACGAAGGATTCCCACCGCGGGTCTGTGACTAGTGCGTGCGGACTCACCTGGGTCGGCTCGGCGCCCAGCCCTTCGGGGCGCCCGTGGAACACGTATACGCTGCCGCCGTCGCTGTCGAAGGGCGCGCCCACGGCTAGGTCTGGGCGGGAGACTCGAGTTAACCCATATATATATATATATATATATATATATATATATATATATATATATATATATATATATATATATATATATACTTACACACACACACACATATGTCATCTGTAATAATAGTTAACTGTGCTTCCACAGAGGTGGCTCCATAAGTACCTAGTCACCAATGCGTCAGTAATTAGTCCTACCTCTGCTTGTAGAACCCTTTGTGTGCAACAAAATTCAAACAACAATAGAAACACCATCCCGGTCCGTTTGCTTCACTTTGAACTTAAAACGCTATTTTCATTTTAATTTCCTTAACGAACAGACCCAAGGGCGCCCTCACCGTCGAAGCCGTCCCTGTCGACGTCTCCCAGGCAGGCGAGGGCGTGGCCGAAGCGCGCCCACGCGGTCCGCCCTCGGATCTCGAGCGCTGGTCTCGGCGACACCTGCGGGCGGGCGGGGAGTGAGTGCGAGGCAAGCGCCCAAGAACCCTCCCACGGGGTCGGTTCTCAGCCTCCATCATCTGTGACCCCGTGGTCACTGTTGTCATGATTGCATTTCTGTTCCCTGTTTGCCTGGCCATGACGAGCAGCCCTTTCCTTCCCGCGGACAGAGGCGCCTCGTCGCAGCTTCCCTCTCTCGCGCGCCAGAGGAAGCCGCGGGCCCGCATACTTACCGTTTTGGCGGGGGCGTAGTACACGTAGACGGCCCCGGCGTCGGGCGCGTTCTTGCCGTCGTGGGCGAGCGGCGCGCCCGCCGCCAAGTCCGCGGCGCCGTCGCCGTCCCAGTCGCCCGCCGCCAGGCTGAAGCCGAACTTGGTAGCGAGGCTGCTTCCCGCCAGCCGCGGCGCCGCCGCAGGCCGCAGGCTCGTCGCCTCGTAGAACGCGATCTGCCGCCAAGGACGTCGTCCGTTAGCACGCTGCTGACACGCACACACTCACACTCAGCCACGCGCGCGCCCAGGCACTCACTCACGCACACACCCAAGCGACTGACTACTTACCGAGCCACGGGCGTGGTCTGCGTTGGGCGCCGACGTGGCCACCATCTCCGTGAGGCCATCGAAGCGGCCCAGCACGGTGGCCCAGCCCTCGCCCGAGAAGTCCAGCGCCGCCGGCCCGAAGTTGCCTCGGCTCAGGACGTCCTTCCGGCGGACTTTGGTGGCCGGGATTTCGCCACGACTCCTGCGGGGTGGGGTGGGGTGGGTGGGTGGCAATAGCAGCATTCATTATATATATATATATATATATATATATATATATATATATATATATATATATATATATATATATATATACATATATATTCAGTACGATTTTACGGTAGCAGTGTTGACTATAAAAGCACATTACTAATACTACTGATATCAACAACCTTTAACGCGGGCTTTCAAACAACGACTTCACAGGAGACAAGACAGCCAACAAGGCGTGGCTCCCGAAGGGCCTTGGCTCACCTTGTCCGAAGAAGGCGTAGGGGCCGCCCAGGAACACGCTGTCCTGTGCCTGGCGCGCGCAGGGATGTGCGCAGGGCAGGCAGGGAGAGACAGGGTTAGACTTTCAGTAGAAAATGGACTTAGGATGGAATCTTTCTTCTCTCTCTCTCTCTCTCTCTCTCTCTCTCTCTCTCTCTCTCTTTCTTTCTCTCTCTCTCTCTCTCTCTTTCTTTCTCTCTCTCTCTTCTCTTCCTCTACCTCCTCTCCTCCTCTCTCTCCCAATCCCCCTACCCCTTCCTCATCCTTTCCCTCTCCTTCCCTTTCCATCTCCTCCTCTCCTTCCCCTCCACCCTCCCTCTCCTTCCCGCTCTACCCCCCCCCCTCCCGAGGCGCGTAGCAGACTGACCTCGTCGAGGGCGGCGCTGAAGCCAGCCAAGCCGTAGCCGGTGTAGCGGTGGTTGTTCAGTTTGGGTCCGCCGCCCACGCGGATGTAGTTGGCTGCAACGACGAGGAACCAACTTTTACTCTATATATGTATATGTATCTATGATATATATATATATATATATATATATATATGATGTGTGTATGTGTGAGTGTGTGTGTGTGTGTGTGTGTGTGTGTGTGTGTGTGTGTGTGTGTGTGTGTGTGTGTGTGTGTGTGTGTGTGTGTGTGTGCTGTGTGTGTGTGTGTGTGTGTGTGTGTGTGTGTGTGTGTGTGTGTGTGTGTGTGTGTGTGTGCATGTTGTGCATGTGTGTGTGTGTGAGATGGGTGGATTGAATAGAAAT